TTTAAATTAAAATACTATTTATATAAAAGTCTTAAGCAGAAATAAGAATACTTGTAAAATAATAATTTATGATTCCTTAATTTATTTTCGATTAAAAAGGGAATAAAGTTTAGAATAGAAAAGTAAAACGACAGATGCTTTTGAAGCATTTAATATATTTTAATATATTATGCGTTTAATATATTTTAAAAATCGTTTAACGCATTCAAATTTTTTATTCAAAGATGCGAAAATTAACTCATCATTTTTAAAATTTTGTGTTTTTGTTTTAATGTAAAGTTTCAATGTAAAGATGACTCAGCACCATGGTTTAAAAAAACTACGCCTCAAGGCGGTGAGGCGTACGCCTCAGTGCGATTTTCGCACTAAGGCGTAAGCCTCATTCAAATAATAAAACTTTCGCCTTTATTGGTTTGATGAGGTGTTGAGACGCTGAAGCGTTGAGGCTTTCCTGAGGCTTCGTCTTATTTACAATGAACCTAAAAAGGCCACGTATGCCGCAAGTGAACTTTATTTTCCCTAATAAGGGCATTATTTTCCGATTCCGGCCCCCAAAACCCTCCACTGCGAGAAACATTCCGTCTGGTCTTCTGCGCTAACTTCTGGTTATATGCACTGCATCGAGCTTCGCTTTTGGGCTACTTGTAGCTCATCGTATTGCATCGAGCTCTGCCTCGGCCGTAGCTTTTAGTCTTGCTTCAACAACATTTTTTAAAATTACAGTTTGCTCTAAACTTGTTTTTAGCAATTTTTTTAGTTCTAGGAATGCGTTTAGAGTTAGTAATTACGAAACAGACAACATAATTAAATTCGATTTAAATTAGTGCGTTCATATGGAACCCATTATAAAAATCGATTAATTGAAAGCTAAAATAAGACTTTATAGACTTCGTTTTTAGACTTAGATAATATTTTGTTATATACATATATTATTATGAACACAATATAGTGTAGTAGGCGTAGTTTTACTTTTATATATGTATTAAAATGATAATGGTGGATTTATAAATAAATATCTAACATATATTCTGAAATTGCATAATTAAATCATATCTTATACTCATACGCCCGTATAATTGTATTAACTAATCATTATATTCATTAAATATAATTGTATAATCAATCGCGGTTCGCTTTAATTGATCATTTCTTTTTTTTTTTTACTATTTTATAAATTTACAGCTTGTTTGTAAAAATAATATTTTTTTCATCTTACATACTATATATTTCTATCCTTTTTGATAAAAATTACTACTTTAACATTTTCTTTTTTCGATACCTTACCTCATCTGAAGCCATAAGATTTAATTGTAAGGTTACACCTCTAATGATCTTGAATATATGATCCATCATTTAACGAGGATCCACTATGAGTAAGCCCATCCACTTTTCTGAGTGCCCGAAAATTCTCTCGGCAGACCTGTTGCATACCTCATAACATTATGTTAAGAGGTATGTAGCAGGTCTGTAGAAAGAAATTTCGGGCACTGAAGAAAGCGGATAGGCTTCAATGGATAGGAGGAAATGTTTTAATTTAATAAAACTTTTTGGAAATGTGTTTGCTTTTTTTGCTTTGTCTTTGCTTTAATTTTCAAAAATACATGCATACAAGCCCGTTCGTACAGCCGTATAACATGCATAGAGGACTGTTCAGAGTTGAATAGGGTTCTGCGATAATTAAAGTGTAAACGTGATTGTACAGACTTTTATCCCCTGCTTGAGGAACTGTCTAGCCCCCAAACACGCGGCTATACCAATATGGCTGCGGATCTTCAGCCCAGCAGAAACCCTTGTATACTCTCGCTCCCGATGGGTAATTTTTAAGAAAACCCCCTATATCTACAGCCCCAGTCCTAAAATTGTAGTGTCCGGCCCTGAATTACTTGATTAATCATTATTAAAAATTAAATTGCAATAATTTCAAATATTTTATTCACATATTTTGACTTAATCGACTTTTAGTTGACTTAGTCGACTTTGATCGACTTTAGAAAATATATTAGTCGATTTAGTCGACAATCGAACTTTTCAATAGCCGTTATAACACTAGTTTTTCTCAAACAAAATGAGGCGTACGCCTCAAGCGCATTGAGGCTTATGCCTCGCCTCACATACAGGGAAACCGCCTCAATACGCCTCACGCTTTTTTAAACCTTGCTCAGCACAATCTATTTTTAAAAAATTTTTTATCAAAAAAATAAAAAAAAAGTGGTTTATTTAAAAAATTATTGAAATAATAATTTTTAAAATGAAACACTTTGTCGTACAAAGTTTAATCAATTTTGCATTGGATATCGTGCACCTTACCTCTGGAACAAAATTGTTTTGAATAATTTTGATTTATCAACTTCATTTGAACTGTTTAAAAATAAAAAAAAGGTTCTGACGACAAGATCAATGTGATCTTCTATCAGAAACCTTGTTTATATTTGTAAAGCTTTTATTTATAAAGTTATTTATATAATTGTATTATGATTTATATTATTGTAAACTGTAACATGATATAAACAAAAAAAAAGCATTTTTATGAATTAAAATACTTTTTAATAAACATAGGTTCATAAAAAAACTTTTATAAGTATTATATAATTATCAAAACTTGTTTTTGAATTATCTTTAATTTATTGGGAATTTTTGACTTGCATTTTTAACTTTTGTTCCACACTTCGGCTTCAGCTTTTGCCTTTTTTACAAATGGTGGACTATTGGAATAAACAAAAAATAGCGGCTTCATTTTTTCTCCAATAAAACCCCGCAAGTTAGACATCTACTTACATAATATATCATTGGGTTCATGTAGTTAATTAATTAGCTTAGACGTCATCATCCGGTGAAACATTTCAATATCAGTGTAGAATTATTAAAAATAAAAAACTTTACCTTCTTAAGTAAATAATTATTTAATTACAAGCATATGATAAATTATATATTTGTATAATTTTGAATGAATATTATTAATGTTAATTATAAATAAGTTATTCTTTAAACAGTTATATTATTGAACTCAAAATAAATAAAATTTATATACGTAAATGGTTGCTAGAAACGGGTGCCACGAGCACCCTGAACTTTATATTTATTAAGTATACGTAAAATATATATACTTTTTTGGCACTCCTGGCTTCACTTCACTTGACAATACAATAGTTTTTGTCACTGTTTTTAATCACAGCAATACAATTATAATAAATAATGTTTTATTTACATCTCTGGTATTACAATACAATAATATTGTATTGTAATACCAGAGATTACAATACAATATTATTGTATTGTAATACCAGAGATTACAATACAATATTATTGTATTGTAATACCAGAGATTACAATACAATATTATTGTATTGTAATGTGTTTTGTATTTAATTTTTACAAATACAATTATAATAATGTTTAAAATGTTTTACAATTTTTGATTTAAAGACTTAATGATTTACAGTTATTGAAGTTATTGAGGACAAAAAGTAAAGAAATTTTTCCTGCTAAATTTGAATTATTTAAAAATATAGTTAGTAATAAAAATAAATTTTACCGCTACGTTTAAATAAGCACTTTTAATAAAAAAAAACTTGACTGGTTCCTTAGAAATAAAAAAATAAAATTCACACAACTGAATTGTGTCAAATACCCGACTTGCCGACTAAATTTGTCAAAATACCGACTATAACTTAAAAATCGTCTTCTTTTTGGTGGTGGAACACCTATTTTTCCCTACACACCATCCCCCCAAAATCACCTTTGTATTCCATCTTTACACATAAAAAAACTTTGTTTCTTTAAAACACTCTACAAAAATAATACACAATAAAACTTGTTAATCTAAAAAAGATTTTATTCATTGTATTTTGCGGATATTTTACATCGTGCTTGAGAGAAGTAAAAGCTAGAAATATATATATATATATACACAAGCTCAAAAGACAATACACAAGCTCAAAAGACAAGCTAATTAGGTAATTACCTGCTTTTTGTTGTTCCTTAAAAAGTAATGTAAGTAAAAGTAACATATAACAACTTGGTTAAAACTTTTTTCCAGTGAGCGTTAAAATTTTTAAGCGTTTTTTGTAAAATCAAGACCCGATTATAATAAGTGCTTGAATATCGAATTCGTTTATATAGTGTATAAATTATAACAAATATATAAAAATAATGCATAAAGCACTTTCTAATTTTGCATAACCCTGTAAGTCAATTATTGTTTCAAGTCTTAATTCAAACATTTTTTAGATAAATTAAGACTTTTATTGCTTTTATAAAGTTTCTTGCTTTTTTATACAAATGAGAGATTCTAAAATTTGTAAAGTTGATTAAAAAATTTTGATTAAAAGATGTTTATTTTTTGTTTATTGCAATAAAAATTTTTCAAAAAATTTGAGCAAAATTTTAATAAAATTATTAAATTATTAAGTTTAATTTTTCCAATCAAATGATTTAAATAAAATCAAGTAGCATTGTTTACATGTGGTAAGATGCATAAAAGTGCGGTTTTTAATTTTATTTTTTTTTAAAGCAGATAATTGGATTTAGTAACTTTAGTTACAAAATTAATTTTTTCAAGTTAATTAAAATATTATAATAACTAACTACTATTAATTACTAATTAAGATTATATTAAGTATTAATTAAGATTTACTTTCAGTAAACCACAAGATAGACTCGGGATTGAACAAAAAATTTTTCCTACATTTTCTAAATTTTCTTTATTCGAAATAATATAAAAATTATAAATCTCAACAGTATTCAATCAAAGATTGAATTATCAAAGATTGAATAATCAAAAATCAGTTTCTTTCAAAGTTTTTAGATTTCTCAATCAGTAATAAAATCTAAATTACATAAAATTGATTGAGAATTGTTTTAAAAAGAAATAGATATTAGGATAGAAAATAAATTCAAAATATAATGAAGTTAAGGGAAAACAATTACAAAAAAAAAAAAAATAGTTTATCATAAAATATTCCACAGAATTTAATTTACTGAATCAAAAATAAAATGCTTACCTTTTTGATTCATCGCGTAACATAAATAAATTATTAGTACAAAAACAAATAAAACAAATGCACTGCCAACAGCGATAACCATGCAGGTTCTATTGCATTTTGATTCTATTAGTTCATCTTTATCTGAACAAATTTAAAATAAACAAAAATTAAACTTTTTTTCAAGTTTAAACACAAAAATTACATTTGCAGGTTTTGAAAATCTAGTTTAAATTTGATATATGATCTCTCTGAGGCAACTAGCTGAAAAAGAATATTTTATTTTAATATCTAAAAGAACTAATTAATAAAAAATAATAAAAAGAATAATTAGTTATACAAAGTAGAAGTTAAAAAAATAACATAGAAATGACAACAAACTATTAAATACTAAAATTAAATCTTTTCATTAACTAACAAGAACTATTTTTGTTTTGGTTTTAAAGGTTTGTTTCCTTACCCCTTGTAAAAGATTTCTTTCCTTATCCCTTGTAAAAGGTTTGTTTCTTTATCCCTTGTAAAAGGTTTGTTTCCTTATCCCTTGTAAAGGTTTGTTTCCTTATCCCTTGTAAAGGGTTTTGTTAATAAAAGAAGACAGTTAGCACAAGGCTGAACAACCTCGGTTGTTGTTTTCCTAACTAAGCTTATTTTGAACCATAACTATGCCATAAATATTATACCTAAATAATACATAACTAAATTTTTTTTTGCCAAAAACCAGTCATGTTGTCTCCTAATTAAGCTTATCTTGGGTTCTTTTTCCCTAAGTAGTTTTGCTTCCACAAGAAAATAAATAAAATTGAGATTATAAAAATAAAATTTTTATGAAAGTATTTTTTTTTTAAAATTTGAACCTTCTCAAGGTTTTTTGATCCTTTCCGTAAATTTTGAATTTTTTATTTTAATCATTTCATTATATTATTAAAAATTTTTTTTAGATATTTAAATGTAGATAAATTTTTATATAATATGTGTTGTATTTGTATTGCATTCAGTGGCATAAGAAATATAATAAGATGTTTTTTACATCGTTTCGACGTTTAAAAACGATGTTACAAAAATATATATTTTTTCATAATACAAAAAATTTATATGATATAAAAAAAAACCTTTCAATGATGTTGTGTAAACTGTTGAAGCGGCTGCAGTGAGAAGAACTAAATGTCTGAGATGCATTTAAAAGCTACAAAAACGTTTTACAAAATTTTTTTACAATAACTTGTATTATATTGCAAACTTTGCAGAAAATATTTGCAAAACGTGTTTCAATGACTAAAATAATGCATTATATTTAACAAAATTAAAACGGTTCCTTTTGTTAATACAGCGGTTTATTAATTACTTTTTATGAGGTGTTTTAGATGTCATTTAAACCCGGACCAACAATTAGCTAAAATATTTTAATAGAAAACCTAAATTTTTTTATTTTGTTGTTCTTTTTAAAAAAAATAAATTGGGAGAAAAGTTTTTATCTCTTAAGTCTTGTCTTTAAGCCTAAAAGATGAAAACGGTGGTTACATCGCTTGCACTTTTTTGGACGCGTTTCCTCTTTATTTTTATGCTAACCATCATTTCATGATTGTGCTACTGTTGTAGCTTATTTCAAAATTTAATAAACAGAAATAAAAAAAAAATTGATTAGCGGACACAATCTTTTATCAAAAAATTAACAAATACTTATCTTGTTGTCTATTTGCTTTTTTTTGTTGTTGTCAGGGTTGTGGAGTCGGAGTCGGAGTTGCGGAGTTGCAATATTTTTAGCGGAGTCGAAGTCGCCAAACAAAATCGCAACTCAGACTCCAATCGTAAACTCAGACTCCAATCTTCTCGGTATTGCACGTGCATGTACAAAACATTCAATTAACCTTATTTTCATACTAAACCTCAAATAACGTTTCATAAATTTGTCAAAAAAATTTTTTTTTTTTTATTATTGCCTAATATTTTTTAAAGAATTCAAAGCTTTTTTCAAAATTTTTGCTTTGGAGTTGTAGTCGGAGTCGGAGTTGAAGTCGGAGTCGGAGTCGGAGTTGTACTCAAAAAATTTCAACAACTGTAGTCGGAGTCGGGAGTCGTTACTTTTTTTTTACGACTCCACACCGATGGTTGTTGTTGTTATTGTTGTGAAGCTCCAGAATCGCTTCAAATTTAACTTTTTACTTTCTCATACTTTCTTATCGATCGCGACAAATAATAATCAATAATCAACATCTGTGAATTAAAATACTGAAACAATGTAATACTATCCTAAAATATAAGAGCTTTTTTAAACCTTATGATCGGAATCTCTCAAAATTCAGAGATTGCATACTTCTTGTTCATCATTACCTTTTTTATTAACTAAGCAATGATGAAAAAGAAGCAAAGATGAAGAAGCTCAAATAAAATGTTTTCACATTTTTCCATAGCTAAAAAAATTTTTTTAGCGATGGAAGAATGTGAAAACATTCATAGGCCATTTGTTTTTAAAAGTGGGTTTCAATGCTAAAAAGAGAACTGCATTTACTCTAAACACCATGGTAACTTAAATTGTGGAAAATATTTTTTTCTTTACAATTTAATGAATGATAAAAATACCCTAAAAGATCAAGAAAACTAAAAAAAGTTGAATACATCTCAAATAAATTGTAGGATTGCACGGCATTTAATAAATACAAGTTTGCTTGTGTATATTTCGGTAAAACTGTGAATGTATCTTAAAAATTAAAAAAATTGATGAAACTATTGGACACTTTAAAAATTTAATTCTCAAAAATTTTTGAATAGTTTCCAAAGAATAAAATCTAAATCAAACACTCTTATTTTTACTAATAATAAAATACCTCGCAATTATTTTTGGCAATATCAGATATTATATAAATCATCTTGCAATTATGTCCAATAATATCATTACCAAATAGCTACTCTCATTAATTTAGTTTAGAAACTCTCACCTTTTATGCGTTCCCTAAAAAAGAACAAAACTTTACCATAACAATAAATCACAAGTTTCCGTAAGTTTGTATCCGTAGTTTAGATGTGGCGTTCTGAGAAGTTCGATAGCATCATTTGGGATGTTTTATTCAAAAGGCCTTATTACAATAAAAATTTGCCGATGCCAATCATTATATCGCTCATTTACTTCTAATATATTAATTCTTTAACATGACTTAAATCATTTCTGGGCGTCATTTGGGCCCATTTGGGATGTTTTATTCAAAAGTCTTAGGGCTTTTAACAAGAGTCTTTTCTATCACCACATTTATAAAAAATACACACTGAAAGTATCCTGAGCAAAATTTTTCAAATTGCAAAGATGGTATTATAGTAAATGCATACACTGGGTTTACTGCTTATTTAGTTATACAAAGTTCTTTTGGGCTACAGGAGTTGGATAATATTTAAAGAAAAAAAAAAAAGAAGCAATATTCTCTTTATTAATTTAAACACTGAAAAATTATCTTTGGTCAAAGTTCCGTTACAATTTTTTAACATTTTAAATGAAAGGTATTTCTATTCACCTCAAAAATAGTCTAAACACGGATTCTTATAAGATAGTCAAAAAAGTATAGTAAACTCTGAAAAGCAAATGTAAATAAAAGAATTATTCAATTTCAATTGTCGCTTGGTACTTTAACTGAAATAGTCTAAACACGGATTCTTATGAGATAGTCAAAAAAGTATAGTAATACTCTGAAAAGCAAATATAAATAAAAGAATTATTCAATTTCAATTGTCGCTTGGTACTTTAGCTGAAGTTCGGAAGAAGAAAATAACTGCGATCAAATTTTTAAAGTGGAAAACTTAAATGATCTAGTTGATGTTGCTTATATTACAGTTTTTTTTGTTGATGTTTTTTTTTCAATTTCATATTTATAAAGTAGTCTTGTATCTAAATAAGAAACAACATTAAAAAAAAAATTTATTGAGTCATTTTTTACAGCACTATTTTTTTTTTTTAATGTTTGTAAAAAAATGCTAGAACTACGTGTACATTTTCTGGTTATCCCTTTACATGTTTGCTTTATAATGTTTGCTTTTCTTTAGCTTATTCATTTGCTAATTAGAAAATAATTTAAGTACTAATTTTGTTACTAATTATAGTCTGGTCGGTACATGTAAAAAAAAAAGGAAAACTAAACATTTTGAGTGGACATTCTCATTTTTATATAGACTTGTTCCTTATAACTTAAGAAGTTTAAAAATTTTTACGTGCCACTTGGCAGTGGCAGATTTAGACTTCTTAGGACCAGGGGTTATTTTTGTTTTTGGAGGCCTTTTTATGTGCCAGAGCCTAAAAATGGCTAAAAATGGCTAAAAATAAAAAAAAAGTCCTCTAAAATTTTTGGGGGTCCGTAAATTTGCGGGGCCCGGGGCTATAACCCCCCCCCTTGATCCGGCACTGCCACTTGGAAAGTGCTTATAACTTAAATTAGAGACAAAAAATGATGAAGCTTATTGAAAAGATTTTAAGCAAAATATATCCGCCATGTTGTTTATAAATCCAATACCGCAAAGCATTTATTTAGTTTTGACAAATTATTGACAGGGGGTTAATTATTTGTGAAATTAGATGTTTTAAATATAATTACTCAAATCTATGTAACCAAAACTTCATAAACCTTATTTAAAAAAAAAAAAATTTAAAGTTTTTTTTTTAATATTGTGTTAAAAATATAAAATAATATTAACTGAATAAATCTAAAAAATAAACAATATTCCCGTTTTTTGTTTATGTTAAAAAATGTTTATTTGTTTGCTTTTTTTTTATTTTATCAAAGTTCTTTTTAAAAGTAAAGAATTACCGTCATAAATAAAAGAAAAAAATCAATGTCATTTTTTTAATAAAACTAAATAAAACAAAATATTTGCATAACAAACTGCAATTATTTTAAAAGAAACGGTTGTTGCAAAAATATTAAACATAAAACTAAAAAAACGTGTTTTATTTTTATTTATTTATTATTATTAAACTAAATGCTGGCGAGTAGCCAAAAAATGCAGCATTTTAATCTGGTTCCTAAAAAAGAAATTAAAAATGCTTGTATACGCTTGAAAGTGAAGACTTGTGCATTGTGACTTACAAACCAAGCATTGTGACTTACAATGCTTGGTAAGTCACAAACTAAATATACAACTCAATTTATTTTTTTAAATATGTCTTAAACAATGGTACGGAAAAAACAATAAGTAGCGTAAATTTGATAATAATATTTTTTTTTACTATCGTCAAATTCGAAATGACTTTAAAATCATAAACATTCTACCTGAAATTCAGGTCCGTATCCAGCATTTTTTGGTCTTCGAGATATTTAACTTCCAGACATAAAGCAAACTCCAAACATTTATTTGTTTATACTTATGTCAAATAAGGATGCTTTGCAAAAAATTGCGATGATTGGAGCTTGGGAACAAAAAAGCCCCATAATTTGTGCTTCCCCTGCCCCAAACGTGAGAGCAACAAGTTGATGAAGTATTTTTGTACTATTTTTAACTAGGCTTATATTTATCGATAAATTTTAAATTTCATAGTAAAACATTTTAGCGTCCAAAAATTATAACAATATAAAATTTGCGACCCCCTCAAATTGAGGGGGTTTAAACTTTATATGGCCAAAAATTTTGAAGACCAAATAATGCTGGATACGGACCTGCTGATACGTGCCCAACAACTTTCTTATTTCATCAAAGATGTTACGATAAGTATGTGAATATAAAAACATAAAACAATTTATAACATCCGAAAAATAGAGCAGAAAAAGTCAACGAGAGTGTTGGCGTGGATATTGCATCCTCATTTAAGCGCAGAATCTCAGCTCGGAAAAGAGATAGGTCAGGTAAATTAAAAAACCCTTGAGTGTGAAATGCAAAGCAAAGAATATTGCCCTCAGTTTTCACATTTTTTTTATGTTTTATATACTACTTCAAAATTAAAATAGTTCCTTTGTTTCATGAAAAATTATTGCCGATAAAAAGTGTTGCATTTGCTATTGCAAAAAGACTAATAAATATAGGAACGGATATAAAACACTTACACCCAATGGGCACCGGACCTAAAAAAGACGTCTTTTGAACGTTCAAAAGACGTCCAAAACGTTCAAAAGACGTTCAAAAGAGGTCCAAAACGAGTATAAGACGTTTAAAAACGTCGTTTTTACGTCTGTGTCTACTGAGCAAAATTCGTAACAGAAATTGCAGCAAACATGTTAAAAGAAAACGCTTTAGTAAAGCTGAAAACCCAGCTAGTATATTGGGCAAACCATAGTTTCCTTAGAGTTATATTATCATCGGTCTTGTTACCTTAACTATACAAGACCCCAAAAAGTTCCTTTTAATTTAACAGAAGATGCAATTATGCGCTTGCTCTTCGACTATGTGACAGAACACGAATTAGACAATTTAAAGATTACTCATACAAGTAAGCTATTTGAATTTTAGGAGGAAAACTGCACAGATAGAGCAAAGGTTCTAGATAAAAGGACTTTGCAGGATGCTGTAGTTGCAGAACTTGCGGGTCTGTTCAGTTGCGGTCACCAAAATAGGGTATTCTTCCTTATGCAACAATACCATTGAGAAAGGGAAAATTGTTGAAGTTTTTTTAAAAAGATTGAGAATTTAGAAAAAAAGAATAATCCAAAACCGATTGAACAGCTTATCCATCATGTCGCACAAAAGATTTGCAGCGAGGTTTTGTCTTTAAAAAAAACATACTTTAAACTGTCTATATATAATGCATCTATTGGTTTCGAAACCGTTTGCATTCAAACGGTTGACACAGATATGGCTATTTACGCTTTGTACTTTCAAAACCAACTTCAAATAGAATTATTTGTGGATATTGGCGTCTCTACTGAAAGACGGACTCTTGATATAAATCTTATTGCCTCACAGTTATGTACTGATTGTTGTAAAGCTCATCTTGCTCTTCATGCATTTAGCGGGGGCATTTAGCAAGTGCATTTTACGGGATTGGTAAGTCAAAGTTCCTCAAACTAATGAGACAGTCTGAAGAGTACAAGTCAATTTTTCCAAGGTTGGGGACTCTTATACCTTTGATATAACCCATTTTGACCAAATCAAAAAGTTTATATGTCAGTTATAAAAATTATAATGCAGTGATACGAACGAAGGAAGATACATTAAGTTCATTGCCAAGAAAGAAGCTACGGCACCTTAAAAGTCTCTGCCAACTAGGGATGCTCTTATGTGTCATTGCAAGAGAGTTTCGGATCTAACAGCAATTGTCAAACAATTAGTGGAGGCAAATCTCAATATTCCAAAACCCAATGGATATGGATGGCGAGAAAAGACCTGCTCCAGAAGATGTTTTGCAGTTAATTCCTGTTTGTGTAAAAAGTCAAAATGTGAAACACGGGTTGATTGCATGGGTTGACTTGTACGCAACTATTGGTCTTGTGAAAACAGAAATGATTGGGACGACACCTAAACAGAATATTATTCAACTGATTCGAATTTTCCCTTTTAAAAATCTGTTCACTAAATTTTTTTTTTCGCGAAATTTGAAAAAATTATTAGCGTGACGTCATAAGTACCAAACAAGGGCCTGAATTTGACCCTTTAAGCACTATTAGAATTGCTCGTAAGTTTTTCTAAAGATTTTATTATTTATTATAAGGTTTTCTCAAGAGATTATATAACGTTTGACGTAAATAAATATTTTTAAGTTTGATAAAAAAGTAGACCAGCGTGACGTCATCAGCACCAAATTATGCCCCAAATATGACTCTTTCAGAAAGACACGTAAGTTTTTTTCATGATTTTGTTATTTATTATAAAATTTTCTCAAAAGTTTATTTAACTTTTGACGAAAGTATGTTTTATTTAGTTTGATTTTTTGAAAAAATGTCAAAATGACGTCATCAGTACCAACTATGGGCCCAAATGTGACCCTTTAAGCACTTTCAGAAAGGCACGTAAAGTTTTTCTCATTCAAGATATCAATGTTAAACTATTTAAGTAGATTTTGTAATATCCACTTTATTTCCAAGAAAAAGTTACACGTAACGTCCAGACTATTAGTAACTTCGATTTACTCTTATTTCTAATTATAAAATTTAAATCTATATATGCTTACGCATTACTTCCATTATATGACTATAATTTTTCTTATATATATATATATATATATATATATATATATATATATATATATATATATATATATATATATATATATATATATATATATATATATATATATAAATATATAAAAGAAAAATTATAGTCATATAATGGAAGTAATGCATGGAGCATATATAGATTTAAATTTTATAATTAGAAATAAGAATAATAGAATTAAATAATAGCCTTATAATTTGTATGGTGGTATTGAAATGTCTTGTGCATTAAAATAAGTATTTCAGTATTAAAATACCATACACTTAGTTATATCATTTGTTAACGATTAAAATAAAATTAGATACCTAAGAAATAAAATGTAAAGGCTTAGGCAAAGTGACTTTGGAAAAGTGGCTTCGGCTTAGATAAAATCAAATAAAAAAGAACGAGAATTTTTTAATATTCTTTAAGAATTTTTTTTTAATATTCAAGTAAACTTTTGTAAACTAAGAAAATGGAGAAAATTAATTTGAGACAAAATGTGCAATGTTTTCCTGTTTTGAAAAGTACTTTTGATAATGTAGATAGTGGATTTAATTACATTATGAATTCAAGTTACAGAAGACAAAGATAATTTATTAAGAAAGAGACTAAAACTCTTGCGAATTATGTGGCACTGTTTATAAAACAAATGATTTTTTGAGTCACAAGCAAACAAAGTAGGTTTAATAAATGAATCAGAAAAGAGATGTAAACGACAAAAAAAATTGATAAATTGAGTTCTCGCATAAAAAGATAACTGATTGCAAACGTGTCACTTGATTCAAAAACGAAATCCGTGGAAATTGACTTTTACTTCCTTGGATACCACTTTAACTGGAAGCTTAAAAAAGTTGGAAACTTTTTAAATTAACCAGAAAAAAAAAGCTTGCACAACGCCTGAAAATTCAACTAGAGCCCCCGGCTGCATCTGCTTTTTTGTCGCCCTCGCTGCGTCCATGAGCTGGCTTTTAGAAAAAAATGAAAAATATCTTATTTCACTATTTTATTCATTTAATCCACATATATATATATTTTTTTGGCCAATTATTTCAACGGAATATTCCCGCTGTGCGCTGTAGAAGACTTAATATATAATAAAAAGCTATTCAAACATTTTGAACATGGAAATCGTGTCTATTATTATCAGTGTGGAAAACAAAACACTTTAAAGTATTAAAAAAATAAGCAAAAATAATAACAAAAAATAAAAAGCAAATTGAAAAATGAAAGAATTTAATGCATTAATGTTTTACAGTATTATAAAATAAAAAATTTATCTGATGCATTGTTTAACGGATTTTTAAGCAACATCTTTTTCACTGAATGAAATCTTCTACGAAATATTTTAATAAATATTATGATGAACAAATTGTTTATAAGACAATTTTCCAGATAAATTAAATTTCAATTATCTAGCACGTCAAATTAAACCAACAATCTAGCTTCTTAAATGTCAGTATAAATTATCCATCAGTATAAATTATCCATCTAGAATCTAGACCCCTTTAAAAACTACCAATCTTGTTTTTAGAAGTTATAAAGTCCTTTTAATGAACTACGAAATATCATCAAGTAAGTCGCACATCAACTTTTCTCTTAATGAATACAAATCTTTTAACTTTTCTTCTGCAGATAGAGTAGGATCACTATCCTGAAAAAAAATTAACAATCAACAATCAAAGCTATGCAAAAAATACGACTAGTATGTTATAAAACAGAAATTACCTCAATCGACTGCAATTCATTCTTAACAACAGGCTGTTGAAGCAAATTACCAGCAGCGGCCAACAATGAACGTGCTTTTTCTATGTTTCTTATTGTAATAAAAAATATTACCAAAAACTTGTATGCAACATAATTGTATATACATACATACATGCATTCACATACATAAATATGTGTGTATATATATGTGTGTGTATATATGTATATATATATATATATATATATATATATATATATATATATATATATATATATATATATATATATATATATATATATATATATATATATATATATATATATATATATATATATATATATATATATTTAGGGTGCATCATTTTTCAACAATTTTTTCAAACTAAATCCAAGCCACCTGAATTTGTTGACCGGTTGGATAAAAATGATTTTACGCTAAAAAAAAATTTTTGAAACCCATTTTTAAGGTCCCCGCTTTTACAATTTGTGCCATAAAGCCCCAACATTTTTAACCAAAAAGCGGGAACCTTAAACATTGACATAAAACAGCAGTTTTTTTTCTATGAACTCTAAAAGGCCTAAATATTATTTTGGAATTAGTTGGGAAATTTACAATAAAAAAATAGATACAAATTTAGGTCAAGAAAAATACCTTAAAACGCACTAACATAGTATAATTTTTAAGTATATTTAAAAAGAATGACGCTTGCGAACGAATTTAACCCGCGTGTGTCACAAACAAAAACAATCTTTCTTTTTCAAACTATTTATTCTAAAAAAATTAGAAAAGATTAAAAAACGATTTTGTGTCATACCTTTACTTACAAGTTTTTAAAAAGTGTATTGATTTGACCCTGGAAAAATTGAGCGAAACGTTCTAATTTTAGGCAATATTATGGATATACCTATTGACCAAATTTTTTATTCTCAAACTTTCCGTGACAAATTTTTATCGAATTCTTGGTAACAAAAATTAATTTGATTCAAAATACAATTTTAAAATTAATTTCTAATATAGGGACCCGCTATAAGGAGGATTAGTGGTGGGCGGCGAAGAGTTCGTTTCTTTCACACCCCCTCCTCCATCTATTTTACTTTTTTTTACAGAATATTTATGTACCATCTGCCTCAAAGCTTTATTTATACGTATGGTTTGATTAGAATTTCATAAAAGCGCTGCAAAATAAGCGTTTTAATGAAACAATTTTATTTTGGAGAATATTATATAGCTGGGATAGTTAAGGTAAAAATATAAATTTTATGCTAAATAAAAATATATATAACGATATTGTTAAGGTCAGTGATAAATGAGTAAATAATCAAGAAAAATTTTTCTTCATAAACAGTTTGTAAAAATATAAGTAAACAAACTTTTCTTTGTGTTTTTGGTGAAAAATCGAATAAATATTCTCTAAACTATGCTTTGTCAGCGCCATTTTTTTTTGCCACTCTCCGTAGTTTTTTTCTTTTTCGAACTCCCTGAATTGATCCCTACTATGCTGAACGGCCTACATTAAATCTTGCCTGTCCTCTTCATTGTGAACAGAATTAACAAACTCTGACACAAGATTAATTGCTCGTTCAGAGCAGTCGTTGACGACATATGCTCGGCAAACAAATTCAATGAAAGTTTTAAATTGGTCGATTAAGCCCCAAAAAGATGAAGAACAGTTCAGCCAAGGTTTATCATCGTTTAACTTAAACAAGTTTAACTTAAAATAAACCACGAGTTCCTACCAACCAACTGTGACAAGCTAGATGGTTTCTCCTGTGTGAAGTCTAGATCTTTTAGAAGGGCTGGATTTTCAGACTACTAATTGTGAGTAGGAACAGGTTGCGAGAAACTTTTTTTTTCTTATTATCTTCGAGTTCTTCATCTGCGAGACATAATGGAATCAAGGTTTGATCCAAATACCACGTATGTCTTCCCATTGATTTTAATATTTCTTAAATTTCCTCTAGTACATCATTCGCTCCTGGATCATAAGATTCTACCCAACGTTTATATTTGACCATCTGCCAGTACGCAATTAAATCTTGATAAGGTGCAGAGGAAACTAAAGAGGAACGCACAAACCACACAGTATAAAATATAGAAATAAATTTTGCCATTTTACTGATTTGGTTTTGTAAACAAGGTGTCAATTGGTAGGGCAACCGATTACTCAAAACTTGAATTTTAAGATAATATATAGACTTTGCCATAAAACGAGCATGGGAAACTGATCCGGGAGCCTAAACATTAAAGCTTACATCTGGACATAAGTAGATGAATGTAAGCTCTACTAGTTCTTTATAACCACCTCTTGGAAATAATAAATTGGCAAGTGCATATTTGCAAAATTGAACAGTTTTTTCGATCTGTTTTTCTAGATACGTTCCTTTAACTGCAGCTTTGTTATACTTTTTGAACTTTGATTTATCCATAGTTTCCTTTGTTGCGTTCCAATTAGCTTGGAAAACTTTGAACATCAGGTTTTCATGAGCATAAATTTTACCAATATGAACTTTTTCCCAAAAATGTTTACAGTGAAGCTCGTAAACATGTCTTTAACATGCAAGGTGTAATATAATTGAACCCTGTGTTTGACAAAATCTATTGTTTGTGCCAGAATATTTTCCTGCATTAGTTGAAGTTGTGTCAAGCACAGACCTTTTATTTGTTCATCCAAAATGTTTATTAAAGTATTATGATGAGTTTTTCCAGTACCGTTTTCCATTGGCGGAATCCCAAGATGTCTTAAATCACCATCGGTATTTACAAGAACAGCAAAACGATTTTTTGTTTTGTACCGTTAGTAATACTCTTCAAGATTTTTCCATCAAAGTGTGCGATTATTAAAAATTTACTTTGACTTGCAGCTTTTATCATATCTTCTTGATATTTTGCTGCACTTATTCTTATTGCTTTCTTTTTTGCACGCCTGATAGTAGATTCAGAAAGTGAGAAATCTTGCAACTTCATTTGCAATTTTTTTAGGTAATACTGTTGAAACACTACCCAGTGGGCACCGGACCAAACAAAGACGCCTCTGGAACGTTCTAAAGATGTCCAAAACGTTCAAAAGACGTTTAAAAGACGTCTTTTTTACGTCTGTGTCCACTGGGTAGTACCTGATTTAATTTTGTCTGCTGAATAGTCGGAATCCTGACAGGGAGAGACCTCACTTTGTTCTAATAATAAAAACTCAATTTTCTCAGTTTGATCCTCTTGTTGCTCAATAAATGTTAAATATCGCAATCTTCTTTTTTCTTCTTATTCAGCTTTTGGCAATATGCTAAATCCATTAAACCAAGTGGCATTTTACGTTTTGTCATTTGATCATTTAAAAATTACCTATCTGAAATGTATGAATCTAGGTTGTTTCCATGTTTCTTCTTTAAAATGGAGCAAATATCAGATTTTCCAATCCAAAAAATTTTCTTAGCATTTTTTTTAAAGATGTTTCTAGCTAATTGCTGCTGCGAATTTTTTTTTTTTTTTTTAATGTTGCCAATTTTTCAACTAGATCATTTAATAGTTTCCTAGAATAATATTTATTTAACTTTTCTAATTGTTTTAAAACTTTTTAATGTAGCCTCATACCAGAGGCAGAGTCAAAGAGTCATGTTAACAAATTAATATAAGCAAAAGTAAAATTCAGAAAAAATAATTTTTTTTTTTTTTTTTTTAAACATCTTCGCTTCCAACAAGGCTGCAAGCAACCACTAATTAGTGTTGGAAGTTACTGGAAGAGAAAAGATGAAGATTGTAGAGCAAGATAACGAATGACAGACAACTTAAAAGATTGCAAATTATATGAATCAGGAAAGCAAGATGAAGGAAACGAATTCCAAAGAACTGATGTTTGAAGAAAAAAACTAGACAAGTAGGAGTTTTTGGAGCACTTAGGAACAGTAACAGATAAAAGGATGAGACTTAATTGAATGACGAGTAATACGAGAATGAATTTTAGTAGATGGCAAAAGAGACGGTAGCTCTTTAGAGCAGTGCCCATTATAGTATTTGTAGAAAAAAGAAAGAGAAGCAACATTACGACAATGTGACAAGTTGAAGGTTGGCTGCAAGAGCAGGTCCAACTATGTTTACAATGCATTTTTGCACCTTGTTTAAAAGAGAAAGGGCATCATTAGATGATCCGCCCCAGATATGGCAACAGTATTCCATACAAGGCCGGATTTGAAATTTATAGAGATAGAATCCAGAGTAAGAAAGTGTCGAGCTCGATAAAGAGAAGCAACTTTAGCAGATGCTAATTTTGCAATGGATTTGATATAAGGTTTCCAAGAAAGATCAGAAGTAAGAGTTAATCCTATAAGATTAAGGGTAGGAGACTCATCGAGCACATTACCGTTCATAAATATAAGAAGTCTAAATTATTGCGATAACGATTGGCTGAAAAAAATTGAGTTTTATCTGAATTAAAGTTCACCAGCCACTGTGAGCCCTATACTATAATTATAGATTATTTAGCAAACCTGATGTGTTTGTCATGAAATATACCGCCGTCATTTCCTCCATCAATCTCGGGTTGCTTTATAACAAAAACGTTGCAGTTCTGAGGACATATTGCTAGTTCAGAGCATGCTGACATCATTTTATTTTAGGAAGTACAATCAATCAAAGTTTTGGTGGGAGTATTTTTGTCTAACAGACGCCCGAGTTATTAAGATTAAATTTAGATTTTATATATTTCGTTTTTCAAACTGAAATTTAATTACTTGGTTAATATATTGAATGATAATTTTTAATCAGTTTAATGTTTTAATCATACCTGTAATGAAAACGAAGAATAATTTCCTCATTTGTGGCAAACTGTGTTTCAGAAAGTTTTTCTAACTCTTTTTTATCTTCAAATAAAAATGTTTTTGAAAGTGATCTCTTAATTTTTGGTAGCATCTTCTTTTTAAATCTTCGTTTTATTTTTGATTTTTAAAGTTAAAGTTGAATATTTCTTTTTTAATTTTTTTAGAATAAATGGTTTGAAAAAGAAAGATTGTTTTTGTTTGTGACACATGTGAGTTAAATTCGATCGCAAGCATCATTCTATTTAAATATACTTAAAAATTATACTAAGTTAGAGCCTTTAAAGCTATTTTTCTTTTCCT